GCATTGCAGCAATGTGTTGACCTCCCTGCACCTGCACGCAGGAGCCTGGGGCAGAGCACAGCCCCTTGGAACAAACCCACTGGCACAGGCTGCCTGCTCTGGGGACAGCTCTGCCCAGACTGCGGATGGCAACCCCAGCTGAGCCCCCAAACTGGGGCAGCTCTGCCCAGACTGGAGGCAGTGACCCCAGCTGAGCCATGAACTCCAGGGAAGTTCAGTGCACTGTGATGCTCTCTGGGTCTGCAGTACATCACAGCCACCAAACTGAGCAGTGTCAAACAGGGGCTGCTCCTCCTGCCCCTAAGAAATCCCTGGAGGAAGGCACAGCCTCTGCACAAACCCTGAGCATGAGACACTGGGCTCAGATCAGCACCACTGACCAGCACATGAACAGCCAACTCCTTCTGCTGGGTCTGAAAAATCAAATGAAGCTTTTTGAGATGCTGCTTGCAAGGAAGATTTAAGAATTCACTATTTCAATGTTAATAATTTAGTCTCCTATAAGTATGCTGTAGGAAAATACCTTGAAATGCCTGACTCTCTTTCTTTCAGAGCTTCTGTGATCTGCCCTCCAATCAGCTCTTCCTGAAGACACTTCTTTGGGTGTGTTCTATTTTGCTTCAGGTTTTCAAAAAAACTGCAACTGATTTTTTTGCCAGAACACAGCTTCCCTAAGGACTGAAGAAGACTTGTCTTCCTAAGCAAACAACCAAGACAAGAAGGCTGCAAGGTTCAGAAATGTGCATGTCTGCTCTTCACCTCCTGCCAAAGGTTTGTCACTTGGAGTGGACAAAGCTCAGCATCCCTCACCCAGCAGGAAGCTCAGGTCTTCAGAAGCAGCATTGACTTTTAGGGTTGATCCCAAAATCATTGCCTGATGCTCCAACCCAAACTTGCCAAGTTCTGAGGAGCCAAGGACGGACCGAAGTGCTGCAGGGAGCTCCTCCTTACACAGGGGCCACCCTGCTCCTCTGGCTGCTGTGGTTTCTGGCAAAACCCAGCAAAGACTGGCACTACAGACCAGGAGAGGCCTTCCTTTTCCCTCCTTGGGTGGGGACAGCCAGCAGTGTCCTGCTGTCAGCTCCACACGTGTTGTGTGCACAGGGCAGCAGATCCAGGCTGGCTCGGAGGGAGGCTTGGGAGAGAGGGAAGGGGATGTTCAGGCACATACCTGGCTCTCAGGAATCACAGCAGCTCTCCTTGGCTCACCAGGCCCCAGCATCCATGCACATTTCCAGATCTTTTCCAAAAGTGCATCTCTGGAAGTGCTTTTCAGTTTCCTCAAGAGTGAATTCATAAAGAATTCTATCAAAGCACCAAGGAGTATGAAAATGTCCTTTGTTCTTGAAGTTCAGAACACAACTGCGAAGTTGGGGAGCTCAGAAGCTGTGTTCTGTGTCAGCAGAATAAAAAGCTTCAACAGAGGAGGATTCCAGATCCAGCAAGTCCTGGTAACTCTTTAGCACTGCACTGCTCTAAATGGAGCATATTTACTTCAAGTTTTGAAAACATCTTTAAAGCTGTTGTGTACAGGACGGGTTACTGTCTGCTACACTGGTTCTTCTCTCCCAAAACAAAACCTACTTCTGCTGTTCTCTTTCTGGACCATATTCTCCCTACCCCCCCCCCCCCCCCCCCCGACTTCCCAGGAACTTTATTGATAGCAGCACTCTGCTCTGTCATCCCTGTGCTCCTGGCACCCCCTCCCTGCCTTGATTTATTGATTATACAGCACATATCAGCTTTTCAAATGAATTTGTCTTTATGTGTTATCATTTAGCTTAATGTTTAGCAGATATTAAGTACAAGAATTTGCCAATATTTCAGAGATCCAGAATAATTTAGCTGAGTTTAGTTAGCAAGTTCACATCTTCTTGCACATCCTCACACTATTGATTCCCTGCAGCCTGCCAGCACCAGAAAAGCCTGTTCTAAGGGATGCTCACCCCTGTGCTGCTGTCCAAATCAAAATAATGGCCCCAAAATTAGGGCTTCAAAAGCAAAAGCACTCCCTTCAGTGTGAAACCCTCACTCTCAGGGCTCAGCAGTCCCACCATTCCAGTTGTGGATTGAAAATGAAGCGAACAGGGTTCTTATAAGTTATTTGAAGGTGAAAGTTTCTGCCCAAAGGTGGAATTACACCATCCCAACCTGCTACAGGGCTGACAGGACACACAGCACTCTGCAGGAATACCCTGCTCACCCTGGACACAGCCTGTGCTTCCCACAGGGATGCATTCCTCAGCAGCTGAGCCAGATAAGCAGGCAGAGCTGCATCCCTGCTGAGAACTGCGCTGGCACTGCCCACTTCCAGCCACAAACCACGCTGCCCCCAGCAGCTGCTGGGGAAACAGGATCCAGCAGCAGTGCCTCATCTCCATCCCTGCTACCAAGGAGGCAGAGAAAGCAGAAGCCTTCCCAAGCACAAGCCTGTTTGAGCAGCTGCTGGGTACCTCCACTCCAGCACACCAAACACAAACAAGCTGCTGCTCGAGTGCGGCGCAGGCAGGGAGATGGGATTTACGTCATCTGAACAGCCTGCCTTAGCAAAGGACATCTCTGGAGGGAGCAAAAAACAAGCCCTGCTGGTCTCTACACTAATGCAATGTCTGGCCTGCTGCTGAGGCTGTGCAGGGCAGCTCCCAGCAGCCACAGGCCAAGTCACAAGCTGGCTTTATGTAGGGCACAACACAGCTTTCCCATGTGACTGTCACCAGAGCAACAACTTCAGCGACTCCGCTGCTCCCAGCACACCTCACCCAGACCAGAGCAGCTCCCAGACACTCTGGGGCATCTTACAGCTCCAAAGCGGGGCTCAGAGAACAAAAGCAGCCCCAGATTCATGTAAAAATAAATCAGCCAGGCCAGGTGCAGAACTCAGACCGAGCTGCAAACAACAGCCCCTCCAGACTGTTCTGTCTCAGCAGACAACTCTGCTCTCCTTCCTCCTCAGCCTCTCACCAGGCACTTCTGTGGAAAAACAGCACAGTTTTAAACTTGATTAGGTTAAGCACAAACATCCCTCGCTGAGCTGCGAGAGGACAGTACTGAATTCTCAGACACACGAATCTGTCCTTGTAGAGATGTGAGAAAATGCAGTGCATTTGGGTTTACACCTCAAAAAGAAGGTGCATTATCAAATTACACCAAGGAGCTGAGCTCTAGATGCTCTTGCTGCTTCTCAAACATTAAATGAAATGGATTCACTCAAAATTAGTCTTATGCAACTCAGAGTTAAACACCTTAATGAGTTAAACACCTATTGTTATCTTCCTCATGCTGATTCATCACATCTAACAAAGCCTTGTTATCAACTATTCTCATTTCAAACAGTGCATTTTAATGTTGATTTGCTCTCAGCAAATCATTGTAAAATTATTGGGACCAACCCCAAACACTTTTTGGTCTGTCCTTGTAGGATAAGGAGCATACCTGCACCTGCTCACCCAGCCCTCTGCTCTTCCCTTCCTTCTTCCATCAGCAACTGGCACAAAAGAAACTTTTTTTCCACTCTGGGATTTTCTGGAAGTGCATAAACCAGATTGTTTTTATGTATTTATATACATATTATTGGACTGAGTTTCTTTCTTCCAGAAGTCTATCTCAGGGCCCAGTAACAGTTCCTCTCTTCACAAGCTACAGAATTTCTATAACTACACCAGCTTTTCCAAATTATTTAAGCAGTCTTCACCTGTCTATTCCTTCCATTGTAAGAACAGAAAACTTTTAGGACTGGTGGGGATTTTGTTGTTTTGGTTGTCAGGTTTCCTTACAATCTTTTATTAAGACCTAACCATAGCCATATTATCTCATGTAACTTTTCCATACTTCTTTTTATACCAGTTAACCCCATCTGACAATATGGGATGCCTGTCAGGGAGCCACAGCCACCTCACACAGGTGGAGCTGCTACAGGCCAGGGGCCTAAGCAGTTTAGAAAAGTTGTTTAAGTCAAGGTACAATACAACTTCTAAAAGCCCTCGTGTATCTGACTAAAAGAAGCCCAGTTTCCTTTAAAAATGATTCCATTATTTTTAGCTTTGAAGTACAAAAGTGTCAGGAAGAGCCGTGGTCGCTGCCCATTTCAGCATCACTGGCACCTGACACTGAACTTCAGCAAAGAAGGTATCCAAATGCGCCTCACACACATTCCCAAGGTGGGTGGGACAATCCGGTCTGAGGAAACTGAGGCTGAGCTTCTGAGAGCGAAGCTCCAGACTCCTGGAACCTGCAGGTTGGACTGTCAGGGAGCTGAGGGAACCGTGCAACTGGGAGAAGCCTTTAATACAAGGGTGTTATTCTCTATTTTTCCAGGTTGGAGACTTCCTTCATCTTTTGCATCCAGCCAGAGAATAAACTGATGCCATGAGTGGCTCCTGTCCCTGCCCTGGCAGCCACAGCACAGCCCCTGTGCCAGAGCCATGGGTGTGATGCACCCACCCATCCAGGCAGGGCCACCTGCAGAGAGGGGCTCCCTCCCACGGGAGAACAATTTAGGGGAGGAGAGGGGACAACGGGACTGCCCAGCTGAAGGTGGCTCTGAAGCTGTGGCTCACTAGGCAGGCACGTGGGCCAAGGGCCTGGCCAGATGCACAGGGCTGGCTCCCAGCTTCCCCAGTAAGCCCCCAGGCTACGCCTCAAAGCAATACCACTCTGCCATAAATATCCCAGATTAATTCTGATCCCAGCATCAAATCCACTTAAGAGACTTAAAAGCCTCTGAGTCTTCAGAGCTGCCTGCCTAAGGAGGGCTCTGCAAATGAGTCCTGGGCTGCAGAGGAGAAATATTATCAAACAAGGCAAGCCATTTGTACAATTTTTGGTAATGTCATTTACAAGAGACAAATGGGACAAGATAGCTGAGTTGACATCTTGTACTACAAGCACAGCCACAAAAATCCTCGGATACTGGACAGGAAGGCACAGGATAGGATTAGTGTAAATATTCCATGTTTCCTGGAAACACCTTTTGCTCCTTAAGGGATTGATTGATTGATAAATGACAGCATGCTCTCCAGTTTATTAAAGGAGCTATTTCTTTTCAGAGAGACATTTCTGTTTATAAAAAAGACAGCATCACAGAGAAAGAAGCCCTGTTAATACTGACAGCAAGAAGGGCTCTGGGGAGGCAGAGCAACTTCCATCCCAGCCTGCTCCCTGGCCAGGGGCAAGGCTTGAGAACAGGAGCAGGCAAAGGGGACACTGAGTGACCAGCGACCCTTCTGAAGCCTCCACAGCAGCACTGAGGAAACGCTGCTTCGGAGCAGCAGCGCTGCCCACTCCGAGCACAGCAGCGGCAGCAGCGCTTCCAACCTGCCGCCGGAGCTCCCGGGACATCCCTGCCCAACCCCGCTCCCCGCAGGGAGATGCTGCCGAGCCCAGCGGGACTGCCCGAGCCGCTGCTCCGCCCCGGCAGCGAGCGAGCGAGCGAGCGGCGCCCCCCGCAGCGGGACGGGCACCCCGGGCACCCCGGGCAGCCCGGGCAGCCCGCGGCCGGAGCTCGGTCGGGGGCTCGCCCTCCCTCCGGCGATGCCGTCTCCCGCATCCCTATCCCGCATCCCGGCCGGGAGCCGCCGCGTCTGTATTTATAAACCTGAGGAATTCGAGCGCGGCGGATCACAAACAACCCATTGTGCTGTGTCAAGCAGCGAAGTGGGCTCGTAATCCCATGCATGCTTTTCCCACTCCGCTCCGGGAAAGCCAAGCCTTAAATACTTTTCCAGAAGTAAAAACACGCCGGGAAAGCGCCGACCTCAGTTCTTGCTATTCCCGAATCCCTACTGCTTCGGAACCGCGTAACTAAGCGGCTTTCCCAGCGCTGGGGAAACGCAGACGATTAGTTACAGCTTAGAGAGGCCGGAATAGATGCGGCGGCCGGGAGCGAAGGCGGCCCGAACGGGGCGAGCTGGCGCTGGCCCGGGCCAGCCCGCCGGTGGCGAGCGGCCAATGTTTACTGACCCCTGGCCGGGTCACTTTCGATAGCGGCCGGAGCCAAAGGCCGCTCCTCGGGGCACCTCCCGGGGGGCGAGCGGCTCCCCACGCTGGCTCCCCGCTGCCCGCGGCGCTCGGGGAGAAGGGCAGGGCTCGCCTCGCCGCTCCCAGCGCCCCGCTACCGCGGCTCTGCCCGGGGCATCCCCCCAGCGCCGCGGGCAGAGGGGCCCGGGGCGGCGGCGGCCGCTGCGACAGCGGCGGGCACGGCCGGTGGGGCGGCCGGAGAGCCCGGGCTCGAAAGTCCCCGGGACCCCGGCCAGGGAGCGAGCGAGACACGGACAGCGAGGCTGGGGCCACCCCTCTGCAGCCCAGCGCTGTCCCCCGAGCCGCCCGGGGCTCGACCCGGGCCACACCCCGCAGGGAGTCCCGCTGCTCCCAGCTTCGGGCGGCCGAAGGCAGGAGGGGAAAGGGAAGGGAAGCCCCGCTAGGGAAACCTCCTGCCCGAAAAAGGGGCAAAGAAAGGCGGACAGCGCTTACTTCTCGTGCCTGGCGTTCTCCTGGATGGCGCTCAGCATCCCCGGGGGCGCGGGGGAGACGCCCTGCTGGAGCCGGCATGTGGCCAGGTGCCGGTGATGCTCGTCCTGCAGGCGGGCATCTTCGTGGTACAACTTGGCCACTTGCTGCTCCAGCTCGTCGATCCTCCGCTTCTGCTTCTCCAGCAGCTCCTGCTGCGTCTCGATAATCTTGTTCAGCTCCTTCAGGTACTCGGCCGCCTTGCTGGGGTTCTCGGCGGGGCTCTCCATGGCCGCCCCGCACCGCCGCGGCGCGGGGGGGGCAGGCGCCGGCCAGCGCGCTCCGCTGGCAACTTAAGCGAGAGGGGAGGAATAAATACCCGGCGGAAAGCGGCGCCCCGCGGCCCCGCGCGTCCCCTCCTAGAGCCGCGGCTGCCCGGGCGGGCGGCGGCCCCGCGCCGCCATTGCTGCCGCTCGGCCCCCGCCGTCCAGCGAGGGCAGGGCCGCCGGCCGGGGGAGCCGGAGCCGCCCGGAGCCGCCCGGGCCCCGCCGCGCGGGCGCACGGCGCTGTCCCCGCTGCCGTCCCGCCCTGCCCGCCGCAGCCCGGCTCGCCCGTCGTCTGGCAGCGCCCGCGCCCCCGCCGCGCTCGGAGCCGGGCATGGGCAGGGGCGCGGGCCGTCCCTGCGCCGGGCCCGCCGCTCCCCGCCTCCCCCGCCGCCGTCGGGATGCGCTTAAATAACGGCGGCCGCTCCTCCGGGGGGCCGGCGGGGGCTCGGCGAGCGCCCCATCCCCGCGCCCCAAACGCGCAACGCATCCCCGGCTCTGCATCCCATCCCCGCATCTCATCCCAGCATCCCATCCCCGCATCCCATCCCCGCATCCCATCCCCGCATCTCATCCCAGCATCTCATCCCAGCATCCCATCCCAGCATCCCATCCCAGCATCCCATCCCCGCATCCAATCCCCGCATCTCATCCCAGCATCCCATCCCCGCATCCCATCCCCGCATCTCATCCCAGCATCCCATCCTCGCGCCCCATCCCGGCGCGGCTCCGGCGCCGTTCCCCGCGGCGGGAGAGCCCCAGGAGCGGTGCGGGAGCGCTCTCGGGAGCGGGGCCCCGGGGCGGTGCGGGGAGCAGCGCGTAGTGCGCGGAGGCGGGCGGGGACCCGGCCTGTGGGACCAGCGCTGTCCCTGCCACATCTGGGGAGAGGGCTCCGTGGCGGGGGTGGCCCCCGAGTCGGGCGCCCCAGCAGCACGCCCTGAGTCAGGTAGCAGAACCCTCCGCCTCTCCCGTCAGCATCCCTGGCGTTAAAACCTCTGCTGGTGAAACGCTGCTTCGCGGGAAGGCTGCGTCAAGCCAAGAAAAGTTGCTGAGGTTTTGAGTCCTATATCATCCCAAGTGTGTGTTGGGAATGCTTGTGAGAACCGGGAGTAGGAAAGGGAAACGGGGAGATACTGCAGGAAGAAGACAGGAAGCTGAAGACGTGCTTTTCTCCTCCCTTCCTCCTTACACGGAGCTGTGGCGGGCCTGGTCAGTGCAGGTCACTCTGGCCCCTCTTGGAGGCACAGGTCACCTCGGGTCTGGAGCCCAGCTGGAGTCAGGAGAGGCTGCGCTCAGCGGTGCCTCTGGAGTTGATAATCTCTCTCGGATTCCCGTGTGGCTCATGTGCCACTTCCCAAACAGCACAGAGAAACCCACCTCTGCCTTTAGTGTGCTTTGAGAAAGCCCAGTTCAAACCTGCTTAGTTTTCTAGTGAGGGAATTTGTCTTTCTCCACAGGCTGCAGAACCCAGGAGTAGGTTGCCAAGTGTGGACAGTTGGATGTTTTCCTTTCAGTGACCACTGGGGCTTTGGGGTCCTGTGTAAATCCATGGGGCAGAGGGTGAAGGGTGCTGGGATCAGGTGGCAGTGCTGGCTGCTGGAAGGTGCCAGGATCCTTGTCCGCAAGCTGCAGTTGAGTGCATTCTGCAATTCCTGAACCAGAGGTTCTCACCTGCCTCTCCCATCAAGTGGGTTTGTTTTTTGGGGTCCTTTATTTCTTTCTCTTTGTCTTCCACAAATCCAGGGAAAAACACGCATTTTATTTCAGTTCTTCTCCTCACCTAATCCCCTAGCTGCTCATCTGGAGGTCTCTTGCTACCCCTGATAATGAAGAAGTCTTTTCAGGGTTACCTAGGGGTTCTGTGGGGTGAGAGCTCATGGATGAAGTGCTGCTTGTGGCCAGGGAGCAATGGAATGGCAAGCAGCTGGCTCTCTGGGTAGAGAGGTCTCATTTCTAGCTAAGGGAACCTATTTCTGGCTCTGATCCACAAACTGGATCAGGTCCAGGCAGTTCTCCCTGGACTGCCCACACTGGTAAATGCAGCTGCCTCAGCCCCTAATTTTTCTTTTTTTCAGACTCCATTGATGATGTGCCTTATGACCTCCTGGAATGCCATGGCAAAAGGAACCTTCTTTTCAGCTGCAGGGGTGGCACCTTCATCATGTGCTGCCCTTCTGGAGCAGGAGCTGCTGGCACATCAGCCATTGATCTGAGGGAAGGAAGCAGGGTGCACAGGAGAGCATTTCTTAGAGCCAGAGGCCATGGAACAGGCTGGATGCAAGCTTGGGGAGACAAAGTGAAGTTGACCTCATATTAAAATCCTCTGTGGCCTATGGGGAAACAGCAACTCTCTCTCTGCAAAGCCTAAGACAGGAATATGCCAGCACCCATCATGCTGATGTCTCCCTGTCTTGTTTCCAGACAAACCTCCTGTTAAACCTGCCAGAGTTGCCAAGATGACCAGAAAAGGGAGGGCCTTTCAGACAAATCCTCTTCCCCTTGAAGACCTCTCTGAGCTCCCCAGCTCCTTCTGATCTCTGCCCCATCCTTGACTTTCCACCCCTCTCCCTGCCCCAGGAGCCATTGCTGGGAAGGAGTTACGAGCTTTGGGAACTGGGAGCTTCAAGACTGAAGACTTCCAGCAGGAGCCCCAGTTCCCAGATGTACCCAGTACATCTGTAAATTTCCCTCACAACTGTTATTTGCTAAATGGAGCAGTCCCAGCAGTGCTGTATTTCATCCCAGCATTTATTTAGCCTTATTTTTTGTGTTGTACAATGTAGCTGCTTCAGTGAGGCCCTGTGGTCCCCCCACCTTCCCCTGCCTGGCCTGGCTGTCCCCAGGGCACCTTGCTGAACTCTCCCGTGGTGCTGCTGACTCCTGGGCTTGTGTCACATGTCCTTTCTAGGGGATGATTTTATTCAGCAAACTGCCGGTGCAGGACAGCAAAGCTGCAGAGATGAGCCCAGATGTCAGCAGAGAACCTGGGTGTGCTGAGGCAGGACATGCAGGCCAAAACTGCCCCAGGGTCACCCCATTCCAGTCAGGAATGTGGTATCAGGGCTACCAAACCGTGAAGTGTGACAGCCCCTCTATGCATCCCTGTGGGATGAGGAGGACAAGGCAGGGGAATGTGTGAATGGGGAGGGAAGAGTTTCCAGGTGTTCTGGATGAGGTGTGGTAGAGCCAGGGCAGCCTACCTGTGCACCTCAGGTGAAGTGCTGTGGGAGGGACCTTCACACAAAGCCTTGGGTTTTCCCACTGCTTTCCCAGGTGCAGCAGAATGTCAGAGAAGGAATCAAGGCACGGAGGGTTTCCAGTGAAGAAGACACTGGGAGGAGTTGGACATGTGCTCTTCCATTCATAAAAAGAGGAAAACCAGGGGCCAGAGAGAGGGATGAGGAATTTCCAAAGCCTGCCAATCCCTGGTGACTGCCCTCCCTACCCTCCCAGAGCCTCTGGCACAGATCCCAAAGCTGTGGGGCAGATCATGTTTGAACAGACAAAAGGATGACTAGAATTTAGAAACTATACAGATTTTGAAAATCTTCTGAGCAGATCTGAAAGTTTCCAAAGAAAATAAGGCAGTCTTATGCATTTATTTTTGTCTTTATTTTTGACAAATTCTTCTTTTGTAGCATTGCCTTCAAAGTTTGCATATTCACTACTGTCTCCAAATGCTCAGCTACAATTTTTACCCTGTAGAAAAAGAAAAAAAAAGAAATATGGCAAATATCTTTTTATGGACTAATCAGTTCAAGTCCCAAAATCATCAGCAGCAACATTTAAATATAACAAAGGTAAATTCTCTGTTACCTATTGTGGAGTGTGGTGGAAGAAGAGGAAGGGGAAAAAAACCCTAAATTATGAGTTCTCCAGAAAAGCTTTCAACTCTGAGCACTCTGCAGCGAAGCAAAAGAGAGGCTTTTCCACAGCTCTTTATACTGTAAATATATGTATTTATAAAGTCCCTTGAGACTGGCTAGTGCTGATTGGAGCAATAAGGAATAGTTGTTAGAGGGTGGATAAAAAAGATGCATGTGTTTGAGTTGACTCACAGCCACCTCTAATTTTACATAACTTGGAAAGCATTTCTATATAAGCCCAGATATCTACAGAAATATCAAGATCTGGTTTTACTTTGCATTAATTATTATTACTTCATAAAGCAGCCAAATTAATGACAGAGTTGCCACACAGGCTTACCATACTTATGCTTTCTCAATAAAATTTGAAGGTGAAGCAAAGATGCAATCCACATTCATTTGGGGATTAGGGACAAAATATTCACTCATTACCAATCCTAATTTTTATTGTATGTTATTAAAAGATTATTTTTTTTAGCTGTTGTTTGGTTTATTTTGTGGTTTCTTATTCAGATCCATCAGCAACCCCACATTGTCTCTCTCACCACAAGGCTCCTTTCAATGCCAAAGAGGTTGATTAAAAGTTGAATTCCTGGCTGGTACTCACATTTCCAGTGTTAAGACATCTCATTCAGTCTGATCCTTTTTCCCCTGGCTGTCTTTGCTCACTTTTATCCTTAGTATAAGGATAAAATATCCTTAGTATAAGGATAAGGAGGTCTGTAGAATGACCCCTGCATCACAGTCAGATCCTGTGAAGAGCAAAAAGTGATTTTGTAGGGCAGAACCACCTAATGTGATGTAGGTGTCATCTATAAGTGACAGCTTGAAAGTGCAGTATCTGTGTTTCATTAAACAGAAACATAATAAAGGCAGAAATTATTATCCACAGAGGAAAATCTCTGAGAAATCCGAAGGACCCATTTGTGATGGCATGATGTGTTCTCCCATGGCAGGCCGTTCC